CAGTGGGGTGGAGTTGCAGGGTCCTGCAGACCTCAGACAGATGAGATGGGAAGAAAGCTGGCCTCAGTGTCAAACGAGATCATCAGAGTCAATGTTTGCAGAGAGCTGTGCAGGTGATTCTTCTTACCATAGTAACCCACCTCACCAAGGTAACAGGAGCCCTCTATGCACAGCCTACTGACTTTGTGGGAGCAAGTGGCAAATCTGTTGGCAAAATACATTCTCCTTGGCCAGTTTGGTGCTTAGTCCTCCAAACCACTGTCTCTCCTTTTAAACATGTCCTTCTTCTGTGAACTGAAAATTTTCTTGAAGACATGGAATGGCACACTTCCTAACTGAAGAATATGTCCATTTCCTTGGATTGGTCTTACTTAAATCTTTCATAGAGGGCTGTAATGAATCTTTTTTTATTGCTAAGTAGGACTGGCCCAATGGAATCAGCTGTCCAAAAGGACAGCTGCTTTTTTTCTTTTCTTTCTTTCTTCTTTTTAAAGACAGGATCTTGCTGTGTAGTTCAGGCTGGTCTTGAATTCACCATGTAACCCAGGCTGGCCTCAAACTCATGACAATCCTCTTGCCTCAGCTTCCTAAGTGCTAAATTTACAAGTGTGCCACCACACCTGGCTGGTCCCTGCAACTCTCTCCTACAGAGAAAGTAAAATTGAGATCACAAGAATGTAAATCTAGTGCGGATTTCCTTTGAACCAACTTACAATCTTTCCAGATATACTCAAGAATGGTAGGAGCAGGCAGGAAGTTGCATAAAATTAATAGACTGTTTAGACTAAATGATGAAACTGGAGCCCAGAGTGGCAAGGTGACTTGTCTGAGTGTGGTCTCCAAAGACCCTTTGTGTGAGTTCAGTCTTAGGCCTATTATTAGGAAGATATTAGAAGGGTGGGACGTGTCATAGGTGACATAAAATCTGCTGTTTCACATCTGTGAACCAGGAGTCAGTGTCCTGCCCGTGGGCTCCTTAGAAGGGTTAAATGAGTGACTATGTGATCAGTTCTCATCACAGTGAGAGGAACTCAGAACAACTGCCATTGTTTTCTTGTAGACTCAGGATCCTTTCCTAACTTTTCAAACAGCAGACCGTAAAAACCAAACACAGAAGGGAGACAGCCCCAGGGAGCTGGAAAACAAGTTGTTCATATAAAGCCCCTGCCCACCCAGTCTCCTTCCTCCTTTCTGATCTTTTTGGCCAGGCTGCAGCATCTTTTCCTATACCTTATTTTTGCCAACAAGGGCCAAACGCTTACCCTGGGGTGCATCTTCTCAGCCACAGCCTTACTGGTCACCCCCAATGCGAGGATGGTGAGTTCTCCACCCAGTAGCGCAGCTTTCCTCCCGCATCGTCCCATGGGAGTGGCCCCCAGGTTGTGAGAAACAGTCCTACTGATACAGGGGAAAGAAATGCCAACCTGCTAGATGTCAGCCAGAGTTTGTGTTCTCTAAAATCAAAGAATGAATTTTAGGAACGACAGAAGTTAAAAGCAGAAAGAAAGCGTCTATCTGAGAGAGAGAGACAGAAGGGGTCCCAAGTGGGTTGCCAGAGACTCTGTCTTTTCTAAGGACTTTTGTAGAGTAAAGCCACAAAGAGAGGCAGGTCTAAGGTGGACAAACACGGGAACTCACAAAGTGGGCATGATGTGGGATAGGACTAGGGCCAACCAATAAGATTAACTGCTCAGGTAAAACTGATTAAATCGGGGACAGATGGAGAAGCAAGTCACATGGTAAGGGACATGCTTAAAGAACAGTGACTCTTCCTGTAAGGAGTTGAAATGGTGACTCCTGGCTTCCATGGTCTATCAAGGTGATAGACACCTATACCGAAAATCAATTCCTGATCCTTATCCTAAGAAAGTATGTGGGTACATTTGATTTATCTTTTGTCTTGAGGTCTGGCCCACAGCAGAGGTGTCTGTCTCCCCGACAGTTGCAAGGTATCTGATCTTCTGCACTGGCTCCTTCGAGGGCCCAGCCCTGTAAGACTGTCTATAATATTTCTATCTAACTCAGCTGCCTATAACAGTACCTTGGGTGCAGAACAGGAACACAGCAGGGCTATTCTGAGTGCCTTGGAACAAATGAGGGTGAGTGTGGCTCCTCCCAGAGGACTCCTCGCTAAAGCTTGGGAGCCCAGCAGGCGCACACAGGCATGATCAAGACTTTACAAGGAGACGGTGAATTCGTGACCCCCTCAGGAAGGAAGCGTCTGGCTATTTCTAACGTCCTGAGTAGGGGGTTGGGGTGGTACTGGTACAAATTTGTAAAATGTTAAAGAGTAATTGAAAGAAATAGGAGGAGACCAGGAAGCAAAATGAACAAAATGCTTGATATGTCCACGCGCCAACGAGGAGGTGAGGTGTGAGGAGAAGTCTGTCACAGTAGCCAATAAACCAAGAGGGCCAAATGTTTGGCTTGAATAACTCAGAATCTGCTCCTCGCCTGCACAGCAGAGTTTGGCAGTGAGTCAGCAAATCCAGCAACAGAAATCCTTTTTCAGGAGCCACAGACAGTCCATTTACATACGTGCGCAAGCACACACACACAAACACACACATGCACACAGAATCTCTCATAGATATACCCTTCATCAGCACAGAGAAAAATACAGCATTGCTCATGAGATTGCCAAAAGCCCTGTGTATCACTGAAAATTATCAAGGCCTATTTGCCAAGAAATCAAAAGGCTTTCTTAAAGTAGCATTTTGAAAATTCTTTGAGGAAAACGCCACATGTCCTCTGACAATTTCTCCTATCCCCTTCTTTTGTTAAAAACCAAACAAAAACACAAGGACATAACCCAAATGTTCACAGTGGCTCTGTCTGGATTGTGAGATCACAAGGTATTTTTTCCCTTTTTTTCTTTGTAAATTTGTGTTTCCTAATTTTTCTTCAATAAACAGGTATTATATTTCTAGTGTGTGTGTGTGTGTGTGTTTTTTTTATTTTTTTGAGACAGAGTCTCACTATGTAGCGCAGGCTGGCCTTGAATTCATGGTGATCCTCCTGCCTCAGCGTCCTGCATGCTGGGATTACAGGCATGCACCACCATGCCTGGCTTATATTTCTAATGTTGAAAACAATATAACGAAAAGATACATGCAAAGCAAGCAAAAGCAGAAACTTCTCAGTGAGCAGCTTTGTTGTTTTTTGATGTTCAAATGACACCTCAATGAACCAACAACTATTAATGACAGGCATGTCAAGAAAAGCTAAGACCACCAGAGAAAGGTAAGCAGGGTTTTGTGAACACAGGGGAATCATAGAGGTGGTTTTGGCTTTTGGAAATGCTAAAACCCACATTGTGATCATGCCAGGTAAAATGTCACACTGAAGAGCTCTGCAGGACAGCGGTGACTGTCAGGCTTGTTAGCAACAGGAGCCCCCAGATGCTGTAGGTCCTGGGTACGCCCTTTGCTACTCAGTGGGAATTTTCCTTTTTGCAAAGATACTCTCAGTTTTCACACTACACATGAGGTAAAGTGCTAAAGAATTGAGTGCGGATGGAGGGAAGTTCATGTAATTGAAGCCAGTGCTGCCTGGTAATGTCATTTTTCAAACTGAAAACCACTTGGTTGTAGGCATCACCAGGCTACAAAACAACTATGCATTCCCAAGTCGCTAAGCCTCTCCTGCCTGACCCACCCATGCAAAATATTCCCAAAAGACCTATTGAAGATGCTCATCATGGTTTCATGTAACATCTTCCTCTCTTGTTCCTGGCACTCTTGATATTGAGGAAACCACAACTTTCAGAAACTTTGGCCTTTCCTTTTAAAAATGCATTTGTAACTGGACAAACCTTTCCAGAGTTAGCTTTGTCTGTAGGTTTTCAATTCAGAGTCATCGGTGTGCACAAACTACATTTCTTTTATACCTGGTGATATCAGCTTCTGTTGTCAGGTCACAGGCCTTTAGCATGCAAGAGATGAGCAACAGTGACCCAGTGATCCCAACACACGTCTCATAGTTCAGGCATGTCCTCACCCCAGGCAGCTGGGGGGTGGCGGAAGAAACGGGGATTTGGTAACTGGAGAGTTAGTCTGCAGGAAGGAGGGAGACCACAGTCCACAGGGCAGCATTTGAAGTGAAAAGGACATATTTGGGTTCACATCTGGTGTCATGTCTCAGGGTGGGGCATCAGGTGTTATGAACAGGTGGGAGACAGCCATGCACCACTCACCTGGGGCCACTCTCAACGTGAACCTGGTTTCCAGTAGTGCTAGCATTATCTGAATCAGCTAACTGGTGTCCAGTCCATCTACACCCTTAACTGTCCGCACAGGGTTTGCAGTCACACCCCTGAGACCCAGCCCTGCGGTGGAGGTCCTGCCTCTAGCTCTACTGGCCGCTCCTTCCACGACTTGCCTGCTTGTATCCTACGTCTCGGTCAGTTTTTCCCCCGAGACTCCAGCATGATGGTTCTATCACATGTGGCCTCAGAGTGAGCTAGGGGCAGCTGATGCGTGGGCTTGAGCCCCAGACCATGTGACCTTAGGCAAGTGATTTGTGAACTTCTGCTTTCTTATCCATAAAATGAGAGCGATGAGAGTTCCTTTCCTCTTAGGGCTGTTATGTAAATTAAATGAATCATTGAATGAAGAGTAGAGCGCCTGCCCCATGGTGAGTACTCTGTGTGTTTTAGCAGTGATGGTAAGGAAAACATGGAGGATGGATTTTGGCCACACTGGCCAGCCACACACCTGGGACCCAACCATACTACAGTGCTTCTAAACCACAGGCCATTTGTGTTAACCACAAGGTGCTGGGAGGATAGTAACTCCAGGGCACAGAGGCGAGGGACGCTGATATCCATCCTGCAGAGCACAGCACAGCACCCCCACAGCAAAGTCATCCAGCCTAAAGCATAAAAGTGCTGAGTGGGAGATGCTGGTGCTCTCCCCCTACTCGCTGGCCTTGGTGACTGTGGGGGTCCCTAAGCCTCACCCCTTCAGGACTAGCTCGTCCACTGTCTCCTGAGCACCCACCTGTTGGATTCTTTGTCAAATGGACAACAGGCTTCATCTCCTTGTCCCGAGTCCATGACAGCAGGGGAAGAGAGAGTGACCGTGCCTTTCCTCTGACCAGGCACTGTCGAGAAACTGCTTGCTGCAGGGCCATGGCCGAGAGCCACATGAAAACAGGCACAGCAGCCGGGCAAGTGTTCCACTCAAGCTGGCTCCACACCAGGCCCGCCAGTGAGTCACCACCACATGCTGCTGCCTCTCGCCATGACCTTTCTTTATCCCTTCATTAGCTGTAAATCTTCAGGAGCAAAACAGCAGAGAACAGACTGGGAAGGCCCTGGCAGAATATCACGCCAGGCGAATGCCCAAATCAAAATTCAGAGTTAAAAACCCAGGCTCTGAATGAATGCCAAACACAGCAAACCAAGGCTCCCCTGAGCTGTCCCTGCAAACCAGAGAAGTGGACAAACAGAACCCTGTCTCTTAACATAATTCAAAGCGCGTGGCAACCCTGGAGCATCCTCTCCAGGAGAAGGAACAGATGTGTTTAGCAATACCCAGATGGCCAGGGACAAACTGAAGGACCTGTGTAATGTTTGCCCATAATTCACACTTGCACCAAGCCACATTGTACCCCTAAAGAAATCTCCCTTGTGTCCATGACTCCTCTATGTCAAACAGAATTAATATTAAGTGTCCCAGGCAGTGTTGTAAGAAACAATTAACATAAGATATTAAGTACCGCTTTGGCTTCAAATAAAGCAGAACTGGCTTTTTGGTCTCTGCCTGTCTGAAAGCAAACCATCCCACTGGGGAAAGGACCAGGGAAGGGACCGCTGGCTTCTATGCGGGAAATGTGCAGTCATCTTTTTAAAAATTGGATTTAGTGCTAGGCGTGGGCTCATGCTGGTAATCCCAGCACTCAGGAGGCTGAGGCAGGAGGATCATTGCGAGTTCAAGACCAGCCTGGGCTACAAAGTGAGCTCAAGGCCAGCCTGAACTGCATAGCAAGATCTTGTCTCAAAAAGACAAAAAAAAAAAAAAAAATGGATTTCACGGGTAGGGTTTTAGCTCAGTGGCATAAGTGCCTGCCTGGCAAGCAGGAGGTCGTGAGTTCGATCCCCGTTACCAAAGAAAAAAAAATTTGATTTCAGTGTGGCATTTTCACACATGCATATAACGTACTCTGATGGTCTCCATCCCCTAACACCCTCTCTGAGCTCTCCCTTGATCCTCTCTGTCTCCTCTCATGGTCTCCTGTCCTCTTTCATCTCTTTTTTTTTTTTTTTTTGGGGGGGGGGGTAGATTCCTTGTGTTAGGAAACACATGTGACTCTTGACAGATGATTTTGCTCTTCTTTGTGGCTCACTAATACTTCATCGTGTATTCCCACCACATTTTCTGTCTCCAGTCATCTATTGACAAACATGCAGGCTGATTCCACAATTTGGCTATTAGGAATGGTGCCACAATAAACGTGAATGCAGGTATCTCTACTGCACCCTGACTTTAATTCCCTCAGGAATGTGCTGAGGAGAGGTATAGCTGGGTCATAGGGAACTTCCACTTTAGTTTTTTTCTTTTGATCTTTTTCCTTTTTATCAGTACCGGGGATCGAATTCATGACTGCCTGCTTGCAAGGCAGGCGCTTATGCCACTGAGCTAAATCCCCAGCCCCCACTTTAGTTTTTTGAGGAACCTCCATCCTGATTTCCACAGTGGCTGCACTAATTTACATTCCCACCAGCAGTGTGTAAGGATTCACTTTTCCTCACAGGTGAGCCAGCATTCACTACTTCTTGTTAGTATTTTTTTGTCCATTGTTTTGTTTTGTCAGAACCCAGGGCTTTTGCACTGAGCTACATTCTCAGCCCTTTTGACACAGTCTCATTAAATGCTCAGGCTGGGCTTGAATTTATCGTCGTACCCCAGCCTCCTAGAGCTGAGATTACACCACCACACCAAACGCTTTTTACACGCTTGATGAGTCTTGATTTTCATGGATGAAACACTGGAAGGGACTCTTTAAACACATTCTCTTCTTGGGTTTTTTACCTGCTAATGTTTGAGAACTTTGTAACCATGAGCAAACACTGAGATAGCTCAATCCCACCACTATTTCCAACAGTGAAAAACAAAACAAAACAAAAAACATTTATCTTCTGTCCTCCACTTTTCCCAGCCGATGTCATCCCATCTTACACAACTGGAGTTTGCTTCTGGACAAGACAGGGCAGATCCCAAGTGACTCATCTGAACTAAGCTTTCCACCCTCGCACTTATGTTTATAATACTGACAGCAACAGATTGCCATTTATCCTTCTGTATTTTGTACTTTCTCCCAACATTCTGAAAGTGGAAGGGATTGAGTGTTTCTCCTTCAGTGTGGGACATTTCCATCCTGAGCAAGTCTCTATCTCCATCACTTGTTACCAGGGAATGAATCATAAATAAGCAAACTGGACCCTAAATCAATTAATCTCTCGGAATTTTTTTAAAGTGTTTACCTGCTGCTGCAAACATTCCTGCGGACTGTGCTTTGAATTTTTGTGAGGAATTAGCTTCATTTCACAGATGAGAGAACTGAACCAGGAAAGAGGTGCTTTTAGGAACAGAACTGCTGCTTAGTGAGACTCTGACTTCAACCCAAAGTTCCTAACAGCTAAACTACATTGCCTCCTACTGTCTCTAGAAAATTATCATTCTAAGCAGGTACCTATTATGTGTGGTTGTCTAGTATCTAAAATCCTCTACCCATAATTGGCAAGCATGCACATGCAAACCAACCAAGTAGGATTATTTTATGATCTCTAGACCATTGGTTTCACCTGTTTCATTTTGTTATGTAACCTCAAGAATTTATAAGATCACAGTAACAGTTAACATTTGCTAAACACTTGCCACATTCCAAAGTGCTTTAAGGATTCTAACTTATTTAAGTCTCTCAACCACCTTTTGACATGGGCACTACCATTCTTCCCTCTTCACATGTGAGAAAAATGCAGCACAAAAATAGCAGCTCAGGTGTCTCTGATCACACAATTAGTAAAGAACCAAGCTGGCGAAGGTACCAAATAACAAGGCTCCAAAGCCAGTGTCATACAGAACCGGTCCACTTTACTGTGTTTTCCAGGATTAACTCAATGAGAACAAGATCAATGCAAATGGTGGGGGTCATGTTAAATATCTTCTTAGTGCTGTAGAAAATATTCATTGTTTAGAGCCAGTGTTTCTAAAATACTACTGAAAAGGAAGACCCATAGAATGCTGAGCACTGTAGAAGATGAAAATTCTAAAATGATGTTATAATAAATAAAACCTTAGAAAGATTTCAAACTCCACAAAGTGCTTTCAGCTAAGGTCAGAGAGGAGCTTTGTTATGATTATTACAATCTAATTTAAAGCTGAAGCTGGGCTGGGGAAAAAATGAAAATAAACTCTCTACTAAATCTGTCAGCCCAACTGTGGCCTCCAACTGTTTTAGTCACTAAAACTCTGTATTTAATGGTCACTTTTATAACAAACACTAAGAAAGAAATACAGAGCTCTAAATCAGATTTACTTCTTTAAAAATGAAAGGAATGTGTTGGAGAGCTGGGGGAACTCCACACAGGGATGGTGCCACCCTGTCACCCTTCCAGTGGTGACTGGAATAAAACCCTAAGCAAGACCTTTAGCCTGAAGGGTGACTTCACTCCTGGTTGAAAGGAGCCCCAACTATGTGTGCAGAATACAAGTCAATACCATCTCTCCATTCAACCTGGATCGAGAGCCTTTACAATTATCTTTCAGAAAGATCATCTTTCCCAGTCAAAATTCATTTCACATGGTGTTATTGCCAAGGGATATGAATGCTAGGTGGCCCACATGAAAACTTCCCATATGATTCATTAGCAAACTAAAGTATTAATCTGCTAAACCCCAAGGATTGGTTCATCTCTGGTTATGAGTGACATTTAAATTCTTCAGTTCAGAAGAACATTCCAAGGATGTTCCTATGGCCAGTCACTAAATGCAGAACCAAAAACCAAATGCTAAGACCATATTTGGCAGGAAGATGTCTTTTGATATTTGTGAGGCAGTGTTCTATAACTCAAATCTGGTAAACATAGCCCTGGCAAATGAGCAACCTACTTCTTATACATAAATCCCAGCTTCACGGTTCCTTCCTCCCTGTGTCTCCTAGCTCAAGTTACTTGCCACTCATCTGGGCTCTCCTACATTTGGTTTAGACAATCATGAAGCTGAATAAGTTGTACTCTAATATTTTCATACATCTGTCTTCTTTACTGTGTATATTATAACTCCCAGGGGCAGAGGCCAGCATCTTATCATTTTAACATTCTCAGTGCTTAGTAGAAACTCACAAATAGTAGGCACTCAATAAACACAGAAAAAAAAAAAGGTTACATAAAAGGGGGGTGGGGTGGCTGGGGGTTTAGCTCAGCGGCATAAGCACCTGCCTTGCAAGCAGGCAGTCGTGAGTTCGATCCCTGGTACCGATAAAAAAAGACAAAGACCAAAAAAAAAAAAAAAATGGGGGTAGGGAACCCTTAAGTTCAATTCAAATAACTGTATTAATTAAACCCATGGTACTGGGCCAATATTTCTGTGGTTCAATTTTCTGAGTTGACCAATCTGTATTTCTTCAGTTGTGATCTTTACATAAGAGAATTCATCAGGCCTCACAAAGCATTTAACACACTTAAGACTGACAATAAGCTGACATACTATTTACTGGATTTCTCCAAATGAGAAAATAACCAGCAAATGTAGACCTCCATTTCCCATTAGGAAATCAGGTATCATAATGTAAGACTGTTTCCATTCTCCTGAGTCTACCCTGAGAGAGGGCAAACCTCGTGGCTGTCCCCACACCATGCTCAGAATCAAAAAACCCGTTTGCTCCCTCTCTTTAGCTCAACTCTGTACCAATATCATCAGCCCCATCCGACACATGAGCATCATGACTACACCTCCAGGTTACAGATGCCAAAAAGTCATTTATTTGGGGGCAAGGAAAGCTCAGGTAGAGGCAAGGAGCAGCAGAAGAAAGCTCTGTAACCTTTGCCTCAACATGCCACGAGTCCCAGCCTGAATGTATTCCTGAAGCAAACCCACATTCCAGAGTTCTCTCTGCCAGTCATTAATCACCTTTTATTTCCTAGATGATTGAGACTTATTAAGATGTGAGAATTCCCCAACCCACCCACAAGCAGAAGAATTATCTTTGTCAGTGTAGTTCATAAATCTTTTATGATAAAGAATCAGAGGATGCTTAGTGAGAAAGATATTCACAGAGGTGTGAGAAAATGGAGACTAACCAGAAAAGCCCAGACAGCCTGCATCATTAAGAGCCGGGGGTGAGGGTGGAAATCTAGTTGAAGAGTAGCAGGGGAAAGCAAATTAGAAAGG